CTATGAATTAAATTTCTCTTTCGTTGTATGCATGCTTTCAGGAGCTCCTCCATTCCTGAGACCTCCCGGCTTACCAGGATTGCGTGGGCCTTTGCCTCGACTGCTGCCACCAGGCCCCCCACCTGGGCGACCACCTGGTCCTCCCCCAGGCCCCCCACCAGGTCTGCCCCCAGGTCCTCCTCCACGTGGTCCTCCTCCTCGTCTGCCCCCTCCTGCTCCACCAGGTAAAGTGTTCTATTTGTTTCTGCGCCAAGTCTCTTCTTGCTTTATTTTCCCAGTTTGTGCTGTGGTGATCAAACCAGTGAGTATAATTGGTGGCCAGTTAGCCTTTGTTCCTGTCTGTGTGGCTGCGTTGTGCTTTATGCTGTTACACTTTTCTGTGTAATAACAACAAGTAAGTGCTCTGTATAGTTTGGTGGCAAGAAATCTGTCCTGAAAAAGGGAATTTCAGATTTTAAACTTTTGCTCTGCTGGACTCTTTCTGAATAAGCTCTGCATGCTATAATGGTTTTCCAATAAATGAGTTGAAGATTGGGATATTTATTTTTTCTACCTGGGTCAGACATTTCTGATGACTCTGAAATTGCAGTGGGATGGATCATCAAGAAACTATTATTTTCAGATTATAACTTTGAAATTTGAAATGGAGCAATGAACAAGCTCCTGTTGCTTTCAGAGTCTGAAGAGCAGCATTTTCAACCCAGCACTTGGTGCAGGGTTGAAAACATTTTTATTTTTTTTTTACATTTTGTTTTTAAGCCAGTGCTACTGCATCTCGTTGAGGGTTGTTTTGTTTTGGTTTTCTTTTTGTTTTTTTTTCTTGGCATTCTGAACCTGTGCACTTTTTTTATGAAATAATTTAAAATTCCCAGGTGTGGAGACAGCTCATGGTTTCTTTTCTCCTTACAGGTATCCCTCCTCCTCGCCCAGGCATGTTACGGCCACCTCTGGTGCCCCCACTAGGACCTGCCCCACCTGGGCTCTTTCCACCAGCTCCCATTCCAAATCCTGGGGTACTGAGCGCCCCTCCCAGCTTGATTCAGCGCCCCAAGGCGGATGACACCAGTGCAGCCACCATCGAGAAGAAAGCCACGGCCACGATCAGTGCCAAGCCGCAGATCACCAATCCCAAGGCAGAGATCACTCGCTTTGTGCCCACTGCCTTGCGAGTGCGCCGGGAGAATAAAGGGGCTTCAGCTGCCTCCCAGAGAAAACAAGATGATGAGCCTGCCCTCCCGTTAACCAAAGCTGTCCCCAAGGCTGGATCGTCTGCCCCTATCTCTGTACAGACAAAGGATGATGTGTATGAAGCCTTCATGAAAGAAATGGAAGGTCTCCTGTGACCTGTCATTGTCCTAGTCAGCTTTCCTGCCCCTCTGGACACGGATCAGATCACTGTGGAGGGAGGAGAAGGGAAAGTCCTCCTGCAAGCAATGAAAGGGCTCACGTGACAGGGAATAGTTCCCTACCCCCAGGTTAACTTGCCAGTGTGCTGTGAATAGAGACCGCTACAGATGGGGTGTGGCTGGGGACCTCCTCTCAGAGCTAGAGCATTTCCACTTGGTGAAAGGAAATCACAGTAAAGAAGGCAATGCCGCTCCCCTCAAGTCCTCCTCCTTCCTTGGAGGGAGATAATGATATTCTGGGGAGGGGAGCGTGGGATAGAGGGGTGACTATGCTCTGCCTGAATCCTTGCACACCCCAAGTGCTCTGGTGAGGGTAGTGGAACAGGTTTTTAAGGAGCCAGAAAAGTGTTAGCAGCATTTCATACACAAATGGTTGTCCAGTTTTTGTTTTCTGTACTGGTTGTTTTTTCTGTAAATATTTTATAATCATATTTTTTAGTTGCAGTGAGGTTGATGAATCATCTTTCTTCCAGGGTGGTCAGGGAGGTAATTTGTTGCGTATACTGTACACTGGAATTTTGCACCCTATCCCCTTTATGGTCATCTTGATGGATTGTCATGGGCTGGGGAAACTTCATGTTGTCTTATGAAAGACAATAAACGTTCAGTGTATCAAAATACTGGTTTCCTTGTGATTTGTGTAAAACTAGCAGGCAGGTGGAAAGGAGGGAGAGTTCTTGGCTGGCCTTGAGAGACGATAGAAGCATTCTGAACCTCAGGAAAGAAAAACTAACTACATTGTAAATTATACATACTTTTTTTTTCCACTGAACTTCTACTATATTCTTGTTTTTTAGTTCCTAAACATCCCTTTCAACCTTTAGCTAGTAGCTAAGTAGTTTCTAGTAGCTGATAGCATGTAAAAACTGAAGTCCTGTAGTACTACTAATAATTACAAAATGATTTCTTCTATATACTCTTATTAAAAGGTTTGCTTCATATCAAGGCTCAGATAACCACTGGATGCATCATGGACAGGCTACCATAAGTAAAAATTGGTTAACAATTTTAATGTTGAGATTAACAGATAATTTTACTTGTGGATAATATTAGTATTAAGATACCAGACTAGCATCTACCATATTCTCTATGTAGATGAACCCTTCTCTGGTGGGGTAGAGTGAACACTTGCTTGTTGCTGTACCCATCCTCTTCTGGCTGAGGTGAAAGGCTTTGAATTTTTGCTACATGTTAAATGCGCTCAAAGAGGGGGTTAAAGAAGGTAGGTAATTACCCTCGACTGATAGACCTCTAAGATGGCTTTGGGGTGTGTGTGGAAAGGGGAGGTGAGATGGGAGTATGTACTTATGATGGCACTGGTCACGGACACAATCATGTAATGCCATTTTTACTGCTTCAGAACAGATGTTCTCAGCTCAGGACTACTGGTAACATAAGCCCAGGCCACCTCTCCTTTTTTTTTTTATTGTGGTCATGTAGGGTTTGAGGTTCTTCTCTGTAATACAACCTCCATCTTGTGCTCACATTTTTCATCTGTAGCTCTGAGTAGTGTTCACAGAATAAGAAATGATAATGGGGAGGAAATGGGCTGGGAAGGGGCTGAGACACCGAGAAGCGATGTGACTTGCCCAACTAACCAAGGTTAGTGACCGCATAAAGATGGGAATAGAAAACAACGCCTAAGATGAATCAATTCATTATAATCCATTGAATCATATCATTATGCAGAGATTCATCCAAAATGTTATTAAACCCTCAGAAGGGGGACCTGGATTTAGTTACCCAGAAGTAAACAAATAGTGACAGTACTTTGCATGTGCTATGAACAACTTCTTATTTTGCTTTGTTTGTAATCCTGCTGCAGCTGGCATGCCCTGTACAACTTAGATCAGAATTCCTGTTATTGTACCCTTCTGGAAAGAAGGATGTGCTTCTGTCTTGATCTCTGAGTTGCAAAGTTTAAATGCAATCTTTTGGGGGTTTAGTGTTTTTGTTTGTTTTTATTGTTGTGGGGTTTTGTTGGAGTTTTGGGTTTTGGTTGTTTGGTTTTGGTGGTTTGTTTTTTTTTTTGGTTTTTTTTTTTTTTTTTTTTTTTTGGTTTTTTTTTTTTTTTTTAAATTGTATCATGGATAGCCTGGTGGGAGTCATGTCTTGATCCTTGCCTGAATCTATTACAATGGTAGCACCCAGGGTAAGTAGCACAGTCTTGAATGCACGCTACCCCACTGTAATTTTATGATACCCATATCATCTGTTGTGCATTAAAAAGAAAAACCATTTAGAATTAGATTTAGAATGCAAAAACATCAAGGAATGAAGATGGGAACAACATAAAAAACCCCAAACAACCAAGTAGCCAGAATTTACGGAAATAAGAAAGTAGAATCCCATGCTATGGGGAAAATGGAGGAAGAGCCTGTTGTACAACACTGGTGTGACAGAAGGACGTGACTAAGTCCATTGTCTGCCCTTGCTCACAGTGTATGGAAGAAGAGAAAAATATGCCAGGAAATAAAGAGAAAGCACGGGCAATTCCTAAATGAACACAAATCTCTTTTGTAAGACAGGGCTAGGTCATACCAGATAAACATCCTAAATGTTCAGGAAATCACTTCAGCTTACAGGTGCAGTGAGCTATTCTCCACTTTCAGTAGCAGTGTGACAGCCTGACTTCTAATGCTCTTCAGAAAAGCCTCCAATTATTGTGGCCGATTTTAGAGCCTAAACTAAACAGAGTCTAGTTTAGAAAGCAGACATCGATTATTCTATGCAGGGTACAAGGTGGAGATTTCCACAAATCAAGCACACCAAGCAGTAAAAAGTTACATCTTTCATACATTAAAATTTACATGAACCCGCCTATCTAATAAATATTCTCCGCCCACCTAATACATATTTATGTCTGATGTAATCTTACGCAATGCTTGAAACACAAAGTGCTTTTCTTTATTAAGCAACTTGTATTGTAGAAGTTATCTGACGACATCCGTTACGTTTACAAAGGGTGAGAAGACTCAGCCTGGAAACATAATTCAGCTTGAAATCATCAATACTAGTTTGATTACAGCAATATTGGAGTAATTCCTCTCTAATATCAGAGAAACCTCCTGTATTACGTGTTCCTACCTAGTGTCTACACATATCGGCAGTGCTGGGTTGCAGATGTTCCTACCGAAACGAAAGTTTCTCCTTTATAGTAATAATAACAAATTTTTAAGGTAGCCCTGTAGCAGCACTTCTGAGGTTTAAAACACAGGACTGTTTCTAAAACGACAGCGATGGCTTTAGCAGAGTTCCCCCCGTTTCCGGGAGGAGGCTGCGCGCCTCTGCTCTCCTGGGGCAGGCGCGGACACGTTTCCCTGGGAGGCGGGCTCACGGGGCGCTCGGTGCCAGCGCTGCCGGTGCCGGGGCGGTCGCGGGGCGCGGGCGGAGGTTCGGCCCGGCCCGGGGGCGGCTCGGCCGCCGGCGACTCCCATTGGGTGGATTTGGATCCGCGGCGCCATTGGTCGGAGCGGGAGAGAGCGCGGCGCAGCCAATCGACGAGCAGAGCGGGGCGCGCGGGGAAGCTATAAGAGGGGCCGCGGGTGGGGTGCGGTGACACGTGATCACGTCACTTGGAGCGGCGTCGGCAGCAGCGTCGGGAGCGATGTCCGGGCGCGGGAAGCAGGGCGGGAAGGCGCGGGCCAAGGCCAAGTCGCGCTCGTCGCGGGCCGGGCTGCAGTTCCCCGTGGGCCGCGTGCACCGGCTGCTGCGCAAGGGCAACTACGCCGAGCGGGTGGGCGCCGGCGCGCCCGTCTACCTGGCGGCCGTGCTCGAGTACCTGACGGCCGAGATCCTGGAGCTGGCGGGCAACGCGGCCCGCGACAACAAGAAGACGCGCATCATCCCCCGCCACCTGCAGCTCGCCATCCGCAACGACGAGGAGCTCAACAAGCTGCTGGGCAAGGTGACGATCGCGCAGGGCGGCGTGCTGCCCAACATCCAGGCCGTGCTGCTGCCCAAGAAGACCGACAGCCACAAGGCCAAAAGCAAGTGAAACAAACCTGAGGAGCGTTCCCACCTCAAAAGTAACCCAAAGGCTCTTTTCAGAGCCACCCACTTTCTCATTAAAGGAGCTGTACATCCTAGCAAAAACTATAGCAAAAAAAAATCTCCAAGTAGCCCCCTTAAAAAGCCTAACGTAATAACAAGTCCAAACCAAAAAAAACCCTGCCCCAAGCCCTTTATTTTAACTCTTCAAAACGAAATTAAATTTTAAAAATTACAATGTAACATATCAGTTGCTGCTACATACATGCCAAAACCCGAGATTTATTTCATGTGAAAGGAATCACTTTTCTCGGGGAGGGGGTGAAAAAGATGAAGTTTACTAATACCGTATGAAAGAACCCACAACCCCATCAGGCCTCTTTTTTTCCACTCATCCCTATGTGAAGCTCAGGTAACTCACTGATGTCTTGAAAAACAACCCTGCCCCTCTAAACAGTCTTCAGGCTTACAGACTTTTTGGTTTCGTTTTCTGGTGTTTTGGGTTTGGTTGTGGTTTTTTTTTTTTTTCCTTTTAATCAATGGGCATTCTGAATTATCAATTTTTAATTATATTTTTATTTTTAAAAAGTCTTTGTCTGATCTGTGAGACCATTTTCTGCCTCAAATCTGAAAGTTTGAGAATAATTGGTAATCACACTGGACAGGCAGTTTGAGGTGAAAAGGACTGTTACCAGTTTTGATTCTACCTTATACATGGTGCTGAACATTGCCATAATTAAGTTGAAACAGAAACAGGAAATTTCTCTTATTGGTCAAAACCCATATTTTAATAATTATCCATTTGAAAATATAAATTACTGGAATCATAAATTCTAGTATCACCAACAGTTACAATAGCAAGAGGCAACAAGGAGTTCATAGGCCTTTCGCAAAACAAAGGGTTGTACTCACATATTAACACACCAGAGAATACTTCTTTTAATTCTCTGTACTCTGAAAAATAATGTGCATTTATTTTTAATTGAAGTGTGCTCTTGGCAAAATGCAGCTGAAGAGACGGTCCCCCTCTTGCTAGCACAGCCAGGTGTTTCAGTAAAGCAGATACATCAGCTGGATAGGCTGTTTTTAATATTACTTCCAATGCAGGGATCAGTCACTGAACAGTAAGAAAACGGAATATTTAGGAATCTGCTGTGAAAGAGGAGTCCTAATGGATCACTTGAGCATGTTTTATTGTGTAGAAGTATGGGAAAATTCAGCTGCAGCAGTGTCTCCTTAGGTAACCATGACTCAGATTTTCACCAATCAAGCTGTATCAAAATAAAAACACTGACGAATTACCAAGTGTTAGGCCACTGATTATGATTATTAACAAAAAGTGGCCGTGTTGAGTTCTTATGTTACCTAATTTAATAAGAAATTAAGTATTTCTGTAGCAGAGCATGAGGGAACCATGTCTGCATTGTGTACACTGAGCAACACAGTACAAGCTGCTATGCTGTAAAAAGTCATCTCCTTCTGGGGCACAAACAGCCCTTCACAGGACTTTAATCTGCTTCTTGCCTTGCTGCATAATGCACTAGTTCAATTTATTTTAATTATTTTGAAAGAGGTGAAGTATTTTGGACAAAGGAGCTAATTTCTAATCCATATTCAGTGCTCAAGATGAGCCTGTGTTACTTCCTCCTCTTTGAAATCAATTTGTGACTAAAATATTGATTCAAATTCCTGTTTTTCAGTTTAGATTAAGAGAAGACCCTTTAAAGAATATTAAATAACTACTTTGGAAATTTAGTTCCCCACGTCGCGGATTTTATTTAGAAGGAAAAACAAAAGTTTCTGTCTCCCGAGGTCTGTCCAGGTCCAGGACTCAGGGTTTATCGCCTCTTTTTTAGCTCACCCGTTGCCTCTTCGAAAGGAAACTTTGCCGAGGAGGACAAGAGTCTTTCTTTTCCACGCCTCTGCGAACTGGAGGGGGGTCGGTGGCAGAAATTCTGATAAAAACAGGCTTTTTTGGCTCCTAAGAAACACAAAATGAGCGGGGAGAAGGGACCTTTCTGCCGTGCAGCGGGGCGGGCTCTGCAACGCACCAATCACCGCTCGGCTCCGCTCTATAAATACGAGGCCGCCGAGTAGCTCCAGGCCCAGTGGTTTCCCGTGGATCGTGGACGAGCCTGACGCGATGTCGGAGACCGCGCCTGTTGCCGCTCCCGCGGTCTCTGCTCCCGGCGCCAAGGCCGCCGCCAAGAAGCCGAAAAAAGCAGCGGCCGGCTCCAAAGCCCGCAAGCCCGCGGGGCCCAGCGTCACCGAGCTCATCACCAAGGCCGTGTCCGCCTCCAAGGAGCGCAAGGGGCTCTCCCTCGCCGCGCTCAAGAAGGCGCTGGCTGCCGGCGGCTACGATGTGGAGAAGAACAACAGCCGCATCAAGCTGGGGCTCAAGAGCCTCGTCAGCAAAGGCACCCTGGTGCAGACCAAGGGCACCGGCGCCTCCGGGTCATTCAAGCTGAATAAGAAACCGGGTGAGACAAAAGAAAAGGCAACCAAGAAAAAGCCGGCAGCCAAGCCCAAGAAGCCGGCAGCCAAGAAGCCAGCCAGCGCCGCCAAGAAGCCCAAGAAAGCAGCGGCAGTGAAGAAGAGCCCTAAGAAGGCTAAAAAGCCGGCGGCTGCGGCGGCCAAGAAAGCGGCCAAGAGCCCCAAGAAAGCCGCAAAGCCAGGCCGCCCCAAGAAGGCAGCGAAGAGCCCGGCCAAGGCAAAAACGGTGAAGCCCAAAGCAGCCAAGCCTAAGGCAGCCAAGCCCAAAGCGGCCAAGGCGAAGAAGGCGGCGCCTAAAAAGAAGTAAGGTGACAGAAGAAATTAGGAGTCCACTCATTGAAATAAACCCAAAGGCTCTTTTAAGAGCCACCCACTCACTCTCAAAAAGAGCTGGAACACTACGGTAAATCACGGCAGCTGAATCTCCTAAAGGTTTAGCAGGAATAAAGATTTAAGATTTTTGGTACGTGCACGTTCGGTGCAGCCTCCGTGGGAGACCCGGACTTCCCTAAACAGGAAGTTGTGTCCCTACACTTCGGGGGCCCTGCGATAACAGCGGCGGTCGCTCCGCCCCCTCTTTGTTGCCCGGCGCAGCCCAGATTCGCGGGAGGCGGCGGCCCAGCGAGCGCCCTTCGCTCCGGTGCCCGGGGGGTTTGAAAGTGGCGCGTTGGGCCGTGATTGGCCCCGCACCGCCCAGCCGGCCCCGCACCGCCTCCCCGGCAGACCCCGCCTCCGGGGCGGTGACCTCCCGCTCCACCGCCGCTGTTGTCGGTGCCGGCCCCACGCCGGGAGCGAGTGCCGGTCGCTGGGTGACGCGCGGCACTGCATCAGCCCCCGCTCGTATCACGGGTTCCAGGGCCGGGGAGGGCTGGGGGAGGTGGGGAGGGCAATGGACCAGGGATGGGGAAATGTGTTTTCGACGGCAGTTTGTGCAAAGCGCAGCTCACAGCGCTGCGGCGGGGCTGCAAGAGTTGCGGACCCACACTACCATCCTCCCAGTACCTTGCACATCACTGATAGCCCCTATTTTTGTTTTCTTTTCCGGTTTTGTTTTCCGGGTTTTTTAAAGAACCAAGCCCTGCATAACTTTGGACGTTGGTGTTTTAAACGGGAAACCCCTTCGTCAAGAAAATCCTTCCCTGTTGCCTAATCGAGTACGGAGATCCTTGAATAATAAAACTGCCAGCACTGGCGGGGGCGAAGGGAGTCAAAGGGTACATAAGAGAAAAAACAAAGAAAAAGCTATTAACACGCCCGAAAAATTAGCCACCGAGACAGAATCAATATTTTAATTTACTGATATAGCGGAAACGCTTATTAGCTGATAGGATTTTTAAGTAAAAGGAATTGAAAAACCCTTAGAAAATTTAAGACCTTTACCTACCCTTCCCCGCGGGACTCGCACTTGGAAATATTGCTGCTTTTTAGTCCCATTCAAGTCCAATATGAATTACGTTTACTAAGCTTTAAACAAGCAAGTCCACTCTATATGAAGAGAATAGGCCGCTTTAACCGAGCCCCCCCTTCCCTTGAAAAATTAGTAGGTACGTTTAAACGTGAAGAAACGAGTACCTGATGTACCACTTGCGTGCAAAAGAAAAACCTATTACATACCTTCCAGTAATACTAGTGATTCAGCCCTTTTATTTGAAAAAATTGGTGGCTCTTAAAAGAGCCTTTGGGTTGAAAGTGACGGTCCGAGGCGCCCTACTTGGAGCTGGTGTACTTGGTGACAGCCTTGGTGCCCTCGGAGACGGCGTGCTTGGCCAGCTCGCCAGGCAGCAGGAGGCGCACGGCCGTCTGGATCTCCCGCGACGTGATGGTGGAGCGCTTGTTGTAGTGCGCCAGGCGCGAGGCCTCGCCGGCGATGCGCTCGAAGATGTCGTTGACGAAGGAGTTCATGATGCCCATGGCCTTGGAGGAGATGCCCGTGTCGGGGTGCACCTGCTTCAGCACCTTGTACACGTAGATGGAGTAGCTCTCCTTGCGGCTCTTCTTGCGCTTCTTGTCGCCCTTCTTCTGCGTCTTGGTGACGGCCTTCTTGGAGCCCTTCTTGGGCGCGGGCGCGGACTTGGCCGGCTCGGGCATGACAGCAAACACTTCCTGGCTGCTCTGTCGCACCGGAGTGCCCGAGACCGCGATTGCTCCCTTATTTATAGGGGCCTTATGCAAATCCCCGGTATCAGAAATCAGCGCTTCCATTGGACAGAGCGTCAGTGACGTCACCACACACAAGAAGTGCTTCGCTATTGGTCCTTTTTAAAAACCTCGCTACTATTGGACAATGATTCAAATCTCACCAGCCAGTAAGAACGAGCCCTTTCGATCCCACCGTCCGGCGACGAAGCTCGGCCTGTGCCGCTCCCGGGGTTACCCGGAGCGCTCGGACCGTGTGTCCCCCGCGGCTGCCAGGGCGCGGGTTCGTACCGACCAAATGTGCTTATCGGCAATTTCTCCAGGCGAAAAAAAAACCTCAAAACTATAGAAAATTGTAAAGAGGTTTGCTGCTGTTGTGTGCTTTTTTTTTTTTTTTAACTTCAAGCAGCAGCGTACCTTCTCATAAAAATCTGCATTTCTAACAGCCACGAGATAGATATTAAAGGGAAAAAAACGAAACCAGAAAAGATAGGAGGACTCTGGAACACAAACACATAATGGTATTTCAAATTAATTCTTTTGGCCCACAGACCATGGTTTCTTTTTCTTTGAATGAGATAGAAGTTCTGATTTAATTTGTCATGTGAAATAATGTGGATTTCTTTTGAGATGTAATAAATACTGGATGGTAGTATTTAAATTAAAACCAAGAAATTAAATGTGCTCTCTATTCTGCAGTTTGAATGTATAATGAACCAGAAATTCCAGCTGTTTTATTGTTAATATGACTTCATTGTGTAAGGAGAAAGCACTGTTTAGACAGAATATATGGGGAATTAATCTAGACAGTCGTATTTCTCTCAACAGTCTAAAAAAACATGTTCACAAAGTGGAATAGTTGGTACTTGTTAACACCATGTCACCCATCTCACTTCAGTAAGAACTGAGTTTCCAGTGATTGACCAAAGCTTTGGACCATCCAAAAGAAATAATCATGCAGAATCAGGAAACCTAAGTGTGAAGGGAGGGAACAGAGAAAAGATTTCATCAGCAGCTCTAGAATAACTAAAAGATGTCAGGGCTTGATAGAGTCGCCAGCTTATCTCGTGTTATGAAACAGTATGAATTGTGGGACTCTGTCTCGTTCCCCTGGATGGTTTATCTCCTCCACGTGAACATGTGCTACAGGCTGACAGTTTTCTCCTGTAACTGTTCCAGCTGGAAGTGTCTAGGAGGCAATAGCATGTCATAAAGGCAAAGCTACTGTTAGTGTTTTGCCAGTGCAGCTCCTGGGTGAGCCCTACACAGATTTTTCTGGAAAATTCTCTTTCTTATTCTGAAATGTCATGTCAGAAAGACAATTCTTTTCTCTCTGTGATTATTACCTAAATAGGCTCCATCCAAAAACCAGAATTTTTGAGTAGTATCTTGACATTAATATCCCACCTCCTGAAGTCTCTCCAGTCAGAAATGCTGAAGGACAAATCATCTGATGAAGAAGAAAAGCCAGAAAGTTATGTATTTTCTCGGGCTTACAGAGTGCACCTGTGAAAAGCAGAGTACACCCAAAAAACAGACCAAGAGAGAATATTAACCAAAATAAACAAGCAAAGATAAAAATGTAGACTTTTAAGCATAGTAGGATAAGCGATGGGAATTTAGATTGATTTCTGAACATAATTTCATTTTAATCTGGTGTTTTCCTCTGTGTGGAATACAGAGAAAAGGACCAAGATGAACTCTCAGGAAAAGTTATAGAATGGCTAGATCATCAGCAGGAGACACTTAGCACATAGCATTAGGGATAATTACAAATATATTGACGATAAGGCACAGCTGTCTAGCAGTTGTGATTATTTGGGAAGATTTCTGAAGTCCTTGATGAACCTTAGAATCACATTTGAGAAGCTGAGTTGCAAGGCTGCAGGTTGCTACTGTAGATCTTTTAGTTATTGAGATTAAAATATTAAGCCTAATTGCCTTCATGCTCCATACCTTGCTATTTATAGCTGCAAGTTTTCTAGTTTTCTAAATTGTTGAGTGTTGCTATCATCTGAAAACCTTATAACTCCTGGCAGGAACATATAATATGTGGGTCATATTTCTACAGCATAAACTAACTGTACTGAAAAAAAGACAAGATGCAAGAAAAAAATAAAGTAGGGGAGGAAGTAAACATGCATTTTCAAAAACCAAAAAGTAACATCGGGACACTTGAAACTACTAAAGATGATTAAGATGATGCAACTCATTAAAACGTTGTGTCCTTCTTTCCTTGTGAACGCAGCTGTAGAACTATGATAAATAATAAATACCACTTTGCGTTCAAAAAGTAGCATTATGTGAAGGAAAAAACCCAGCAAAAGAAATAGTTTAATACATATCGATAAAGAGTTAGACCATGAAAATGACCAAACACCTGCCACATCTTTAAAAGCACTTGAAGCAATACAGGTTTTCTGTGAGTACATCAGACAAGGGACACAAATCAATTCTTTCATCAGGACGTCAGTCTCATAAACACAAGGCCACGTGATAATTCAGAGACGTGGGACACACAAAAGACTTTCCTCCCTGCAAAAATAAGTGAAAGTGTCGCCCTCAAGGAAAACAAACAAACAAACAAACAAAAAACCCCCATCTTACTACTTTTTCTCAGCTCTCGGTAGTAAAGGGGGGATTTCCAGTAGTACCGGGCCCAGCGGGCCCGTCCCTCTCGGCTGCCCGGCCGGGCCCTTTGTTGGGGCTCAGCGCCGGCAGAGCGCGGGCGGGACGCGGCACTCGCGGCCCCGCCGCCACAATTGGTCGGATACTGCAGCAGCCCTGTGGCCGGCGAGACCCCGCTCCCCCTCGGCCCCGAGAGCGCCGACGGCGGGGCCGAGAAGCCGGGCCTTGTGTCGCGGGCAGGGAATGAGCCCGCCCGGATCCGCTCCCGCGGCCCCTCCCGAGCCGCGGCCGCCCCGGCCCTCTATGGGAGCGATGGCGCGAACGTCCCGCCCCGGCCCTGCCCCGCCGCAGTCCTCAACCAGGTCGGACCGACCGCAATATACACGCGCTGGGGCCCCTTTTCCCGTTACAACCATCGCAGCTGAGCGAGGGACACCATGTCTGGCAGAGGCAAAGGCGGGAAGGGGCTCGGCAAGGGCGGCGCCAAGCGCCACCGCAAGGTGCTGCGCGACAACATCCAGGGCATCACCACGCCGGCCATCCGCCGCCTGGCTCGGCGCGGCGGCGTCAAGCGCATCTCGGGGCTCATCTACGAGGAGACGCGCGGCGTGCTGAAGGTCTTCCTGGAGAACGTCATCCGCGACGCCGTCACCTACACCGAGCACGCCAAGAGGAAGACGGTCACGGCCATGGACGTGGTCTACGCCCTCAAGCGCCAGGGACGCACCCTCTACGGCTTCGGCGGCTAAACTCCAGTCACTAAAATTACATCAATAAAACCCCCAAGGCTCTTTTCAGAGCCACCCACAAATTTTACAAAGAGAGCTGTTTATTACTGATTTTTGAGCTAAGGTTGCGATAGATTTACTGTGAAAATGTTCTGGTTGTGTAATCCAAGAATCAGTCATGTAATAAAAAAAAAATTTCTAAAGGTCCAGAAAAATCAGCTATATCAAAATGTCCGGTGTGCTAAGTTTAGAGGCGTTACGTAATTTCACTAATAAATGTAAACTCAGTGCAGCAATTATTGCGTACTTACATAATTTTGCTATTTAAAGCAGTACTGCCTTCACGATAACCGCAAAGCACAACAACGGTACAAATGCAGCGCCTGAGCTGTGAGAGTCACAGAAAGGAAGTGCCTGTAATTACGTTGGTATTTTTTACTCCAATAGGAATGGAACGATTACAATCCTCTAATTTGCATAACGCCGTTATAAATAGGGGGGGGCAGGCGCCATTTTCGATGTTGTTGAGCTACAGCGAAGAGGTTGGAAAGAAAACATTAGGGATGCCTGAGCCGGCGAAGTCTGCTCCAGCGCCTAAAAAGGGCTCCAAGAAGGCGGTCACCAAGACGCAGAAGAAGGGCGACAAGAAACGGAAGAGAGCAAGGAAGGAGAGCTACTCCATCTACGTGTACAAGGTGCTGAAGCAGGTGCACCCCGACACGGGCATCTCCTCCAAGGCCATGAGTATCATGAACTCCTTCGTCAACGACATCTTCGAGCGCATCGCCGGCGAGGCCTCGCGCCTGGCGCACTACAACAAGCGCTCCACCATCACGTCGCGGGAGATCCAGACGGCCGTGCGCCTGCTGCTGCCTGGCGAGCTGGCCAAGCACGCCGTCTCCGAGGGCACCAAGGCTGTCACCAAGTACACCAGCTCCAAGTAGAAGAATTTTAAATTAACCCAACGGCTCTTTTAAGAGCCACCACACTTTCCTAAACGGAGCTGTAATTGCTAATACACTATGGGATTTTCTCTTATAAATTATGCAATGTATGCAAATAAGAGTAAATAACGTTTTATTAGAACGCAATATCGCAAAACTGCTGAGGCAGCAGCTTTCCATTTGCATCTACCATCTCTGCAGTAACAAACAGCTCTCTTTGTAAAATTTGTGGGTGGCTCTGAAAAGAGCCTTGGGGGTTTTAACAATGACTTTAGCGACTTTTTTGAGTTTAGCCGCCGAAGCCGTAGAGGGTGCGTCCCTGGCGCTTGAGGGCGTAGACCACGTCCATGGCCGTGACCGTCTTCCTCTTGGCGTGCTCGGTGTAGGTGACGGCGTCGCGGATGACGTTCTCCAGGAAGACCTTCAGCACGCCGCGCGTCTCCTCGTAGATGAGCCCCGAGATGCGCTTGACGCCGCCGCGCCGAGCCAGGCGGCGGATGGCCGGCTTGGTAATGCCCTGGATGTTGTCGCGCAGCACCTTGCGGTGGCGCTTGGCGCCGCCCTTGCCGAGCCCCTTCCCGCCCTTGCCTCTGCCAGACATAGCAAACTCTCCCGTACTGAGTCTCTAATCACTTGGGCTCCCTGGAGCCGCATTTTATTTCCCCGGAGCCGACCTGGTTGAGGACTGCTGCCGGAGGCGGGGTCTCAGTCGCAGTCCCCGCCCCCCTCCCGCGCTTCCCGCCGTTCGGTGACCGAGGCTCTTTCCCGGCTCTGGCTCGCTGGCGCGCGCGGCGGTTCCGCCTCTCCCGGGCTGGGCCGGGCCCCGCTCCGCCCTTCCCGCGGCGGGGTCGCGCTGCGCTGTCTCTGCCCGCTGTCAGCCCGCGCGTCCCTTTGCTGCTTTCCCGTGCCGTCCCGGCCGTGTCCCCTGCGCGGGTGACAGTTCCGCGGCGGAACAGCTCATACCAGGGGCGGGGGCGGTGGCGCTCCCCTACCCGTCCCTCCCCGCGGGTCTGCGGCAAAATCCGACCAATGCGGGACCGCGCTCGGTGCTCCCGCCCCGCCTCTGCTCTCTGCCCGCCATCCCGGCGTATGCCTGTGTATTGGACGCTTTAAGTGTTGCTTTTAAATTTTTCTTTTATTAATATTTCCTTCCTAGAAACCTTCCTCGGGTATATTTATAAAATCTCTCGCAGCCTTGTCCTCCTCAACCCACAGCTTCTTTCTGTTACTAAGTGCTTCTACTCAGTTACTGCTACTAAGTTAAGTTAAGTAACTAAGTTAAGTAAGTCTGTTACTAAGTCCTTCTTGAAAGGGGAGGGGGAGAAACCCTCAAGCCGCGTGGTAAGAGCAGGGAGGGTTTGGTTTTTTTTTTTTTGTTCTTGTTTGTTTGTGTGTTTAATGTCATGTAGAATTTTCTTCCTGTGGATTTAAAGGTGAAAAGTTCAGTGGTTTTGCCTTGTTTGTTTCCTTGGGGTTTTTTTGGTTGTTTTTTTTTTCTTTTCTTTTTTTTTTTTCTCTTGCAACACATGCACACACATGCAAACACGTACATATTTAGCTGTCATACCCTTTACCCATCAAGCATATTTTTGGCCATTTCGAGGATAGCTGAGAGCCTAAAGAATTCTCCTAAGAGGACAGATAGGTAAGGAAGGCACCACAGGTTACAACATCATTTTCTGGGAATGCTTCCTGCTGGGAAAGTATGAGGCTCTGTACCTTAATGGAAATTAAAGCCTATTACGATTCTCTATTACACTAATATTTGGGTTATCCCCTTGCTAAACACGTGCCATTTAAAATAGGAATGCTACTCATATTTTTAACTGTCAACTCTAAAATATAGATCATTGTTCTAATGTTATTAATTTTCCTGGATTAAGGTATGCTTGCTCAAAGTAATAAATTTTACTTCCTGACACAGATACTATTAAACTAATTTATACTGAGAGTAAACAAAATTTCAAAATAAAAAAAAAAAAATTGGGCCATTTCCCCTTTCTTCTTTTTAACAGCACAATTTCCCACAAATTTTTATTGGTTTTTTTTTTTTTTTTATCTAAAGATAATTTATTATTATCTTTTTATTTAATAGAGCAATATTGAAATAATCATAAGTAAGTCTTCAAAAAGTGTGAAAATGAGAATTTTCCAAAGAACTTTTTAGGGACTTTGTTTTGATGTGATTTCTGTTTTAATTTGCATTTAGTCTTCATATTGTGAGAACTCAAAACATTATGAAATATAAGCATTATAAAACATTTTCACTGGCATAATTTTGTGTGAGATCTTTGAAAAAAGACAAGAAAAAACAAGGAAGTGCTTCAGTAACAACAACCCCATCTCCCTGCATCCTTCTTTTTTATTAATCATAATGGCTCACACATTTTAGGGTAAGAAATTTACCTAGTTCTTTCCATGTACCTTCCTTTCCTTATCCCCTCAAAAGTGTAGTAGATACATGTGCAAAAAGGAATTTGCTATCTTTTTAGAAGATAGATTTATCTAAATTACTTTTTCCAAATGCAGAAACATAAGACAACAGGTTTGATTTTGGTTAGTTTTGTTAGGATTTGTTTTGTTTGTTTGTTTGCAAGCTGTTGTTATCTTTTAGCTTTTTTTCCATTTCCCTCTTCACCAAATAACTTTGTTCAAAACTCTCCAGCCTTCTTTTATGAAACTGTGTAAATCTACTGATAGAATCCATTTTATAACTTAGGCAACTGCCTGTTTTGGAACTTTGACTACAAGCATTTAGGGATGTGTCATGGTGCATCTGATTTTTATTTTTCCCTAATCTGAGGCCCTCTGTGCTTTTCTGCTTAGTCACATTCTTATAAACTCCATTAGTCAGTCTTCTATTTGATTCCTGCATCTAGAGTCTCCTACAATAGTGATTGATCCATTAGCATGTGTGTATCGTCTTCCAGTCAGATAAGCCTCTTACATTTAGAAAGAAAAAGCAATTTTCAACTCCAAAACAGAAACCAGAATGTTAAGTAAAGGCATCATTAGGACTGATGGATAAACAAAAGAGTTACAGAAAGGTATGTAAGAGGAGAAGGAATACAATACCGTCCTTTTTGCAACAGCAAACACCGGGTGGAGCCTCATGGAGGGTTTCAGGAAGGGTCTGAGAGCTGTGTGGTTTCAGATGCCATTCAATGTGCTGAGATCTGAACAGGGGGATATGGGTGAGAGTGCCTGTCCTATATGGTGTAGTAGTTGAGTTCTGCATCTATAATGGAACAGCTGGGTGAATTAGTGGGGACTTTTAACTGTACTTTTGGTTAAATGGCTAATAAAAAGTAACTCTTAAACATTATTTATAATGTGCTCCCCCCAAAAAAAAAAAATAAAAATCCCCACCTCCAAAACTCTTGAGGATAAAAAGTATTAGTATTTGAAAGTGTTCTTAAAATACATCGTATAGAAGACCTTGTAAAATACTGGGTATTTTGAAATACTTCTAATGGAGTCTTACAGCCATTCATTTCAGGACCATTAAGCTAGATGAATCTTATGAGGATATGTTAAGAACTCCCTATTCTTCCTATTTAAAGATCCCAAAGTTACAGATCTCTGAAAACATATAATATCTGCATATACACGTGCACACACACACAATTCAGTCTTCACAGCATGTAATCAGTATTGACTACTTCATGTTAGTCTGGCTGTTCATTTTATTTCTGTGTAGACTGTACTTGTGCAGCTGCAAGGTAAACTCAAACTCTGCACGTACCTTCCTAAACAACCAGCAAACCAGCAAAAACTGGCAATGTTGCTGACTGTTAAAATTTTCAGGCATTGGATGCAGAGGTGAGGTGACACATCTGGTCTAGTGAAATTTCTGTATTATATTGGCCAAAGCAGCCCTGAAGTGACAAATGCTGGCAATCCCCTGCATTTTCTTTGGTGTATGTATAGTTACCACTCTTAGACTTTTAAAATTACCTCTTCTGGAAGTGGACTAGCCTGAACCCATGTAAATGATCTTCACTTTTTTCCCAAACATGTTCGTTTCTCCTAAAAACATAAACAATAATCTGTTAGATGACTCTACCTGGGAGAACTGATGGGAAGATCAAAATTGGCCCAAATAAGGAAAATAACATTCATTTTCAACAACCAGCACCATACTTCATTTAGGAGGGGTGGATGGTAGAAAGCTCCCATAATATTTTATTTCACAATATAACTAACTTGAATTGCAACTAGAATTGTTTATTGCTTAGAACTCCTTTAATCTCAGCGTGACAATGATTTGGACAATGAGCTCTTTGACTGCAGTAAAGCATACAGAAATTCTCAAATGCTACTTATCATTACACTTGTGCACTGGAGATCTTACCTGCTTTTCATGGACTATCAAGTAGTTTAAATTAATCTGGGAAATGTTCAAACCTCAGCACACTGAATTGACATCTGAAACACACAAAGATTTACATCTGACTGTCAGCTGTTTCTGAAAGGCTGTGTCCCAGAAACAGTTTTTGGGGTGTGTGTGTGTGTGTGTGTGTTTCTGTCGTGCTTCTTACATCGTGCATTTAGATCTACATCCTCATGTTCATTACAACATTGACATACTGCATGGGATCATATGGAACACTTATGAAAAAGTGTATCATGAGCCTTCTGGATCAATTACTAACCTATTGATAGCATCACAGGTTGAAGCTCTTACAGGCCAGAATTTTGTAAAGCTTTACAGGCAGTGCCATGCTCCCCTTGTCATGCCTTTTGCAGCATCAGTGTCCCTGGAGCTCTAGGCTTTGTGGCTCTTTGAACCTGAAGCCAAACCTAAAAGCAGCTTTAGACTGAGGTGCACCGTGGGTGGCACAGGTGAGAATAGTGTGGAAGTAGCAATGTTGGGATATGTCTTTTGCAGCCCCAGTGTCCCTGGAGCTGTAGGATTTGTTTCACTGAACTCTATCCATCATTGCAACTTCGGGCTGAGACCTCCAACCGGTTGGGTTTACATTTTTTATGTACAAATGGTTTTAATTCAAACTTGTTTTGCATTGTTTTTATATATTATGTTCCTCTAATTTGTTGGGGTTTTTTATTACTAGTCCCTTTTATTGCTCTATCAGCTTACTGAGAACAGAGCTTTCCATTTTCTGTTGCTTCATGGTCTTACAGAGGAAATTTTATTAACTGTGTTCTTCTTTCTCCATAGTCTCATGAAGTACTAGTGGCTTAGCACAAATAGCTGAAGTGGTTGTTGCATTAGGCCACAAGAGCTGACAAAAAGAAAAGTTTTTGTTGAGAAACTAATGTTGCTAATATACAACTAGCCAAAAGCAGAATGAAAAAGGTAAGGAAGGACTAAAGAAACAATTCCAAGGACTGAGAAAATGTCAGACAAAAGACACCTACACAGCAGTTAAAAGCAATTAAAAAAAAATAAAAATCAAGACACAACTGACCAGGAACAAGTGATGGACTTAAGTGGAGTGCTGGGTGGTACATGTGTGATTGAGGGATAATTTCTGGTGTAGTGGTCACTCTCCAGATCCACCCAGCTCAAGTTGTAAGCTGAGAACTAATAAAAGACAAATTGGAAACCTTCACTTAGAAGAGTACATTAATTAGCAGGATCCTAGGATCAGACCCAGTTGTTGTGGCCAGTACAACTAAATCCATGGCAACAGTATCTGACAAAGTACTTTCTGATACATAATACGAAATGTTAACAAGTGTTCATACTGTTTCGACAATGTTGTTTGCACATCTGCAATCTGAAACCTGCTTATATCTAGCTTGAAGATACAACATGAATCAAAAGTGGGAAAGAAGAGAAAGGCAATGATGCAGCAGGGCAGTACTGGCCAGGCTTGTAGGAGAGCTGAGGCTGGCTAAGCTCAGACTTCACTGCTTGTGATTACTGAAGACCGTAACCAATAGGGATTCCACAAGAGGGATTTGCAAATGAAAACGTGTTAAGGAACTATCTTTGCATACTGGCTTGAATGGAAACCACCTCCATATCACCTTTACAAAATATGTACATTACAATAGGTAATTGAAACTAAAATCTCATCTCTTTTTCATATGGATATATCTATTCAGATTTTTTCAGAAACTGATAGGTGCCAGGCAGGACTGATTCAAATATTTTAGTTCTAGAAAGATACTTTCATCAGACCTTCTCTTATGTATTTCTGATGAAATGAAGTATTTCACCAGGACCTCAGTATCTATGCTGTATCTTACCCATTAGACTATCAGGAAGTACATTTTTCCATGCAGTGATTTGAATTTGATTCATTCATCCATAGAGGATGGCTAAAGAGCCCAGAACAGTCTTAGCCAAGTACGTTGCTGAGCATCCAAGATCACCTGTAAAAGCATCTTACCTGAGTACCAACAGCAATTTACAAGTCAATGCCCAGCTGGTCAGCACACAGGTCTTGCTCACATCCAGCTTCTACTTGGCAGCATCCATTTATCTCAGGTTCTCCTGCAAAAAGCACAGAAATGCAGCTAAACCTTGCTGGCATGAGAGGAACCTCCACTTTTATTCTCACTTTGAGTTATGAAGTCTTGCACTAAGTCACCTATGTGTAAATTACACCCTTTTATAATACACCCCAAAACTACTTCAGACTTAGACATTATAATTTATGGTTTATATGGGCTCTCCCTTCCTGAAAAAAAGATCACTGCACATCTGTTTTCTTCCTCGGCTGATGGGAGTATTAAGTGTTTTTTACAATTCAAGCATGCAACTCTCTGAATGAGTCCCAATAATACTTTATTTATTAACAGTTTGAGATCTTGAAAAGACTAGATGAAAAATGAGAGAGATTAAGGAAAATAAAACCTGTTTCCCCATCTCACTCCTCAAAAATAATTTATATCTTGCACATGGAAAAAAAAAGTGCATAATTTTTGACTCAAATGTTTTGACCACTGGCTTACTTTTAATTGATTTATTGCATTTTTGATTATAAGCATATATAAACAGGTTCAGATTAATAAACAGATCTTTGTCTATGACAGACAGTAATAGGAAATGAGTTTGTTTTCACTAAAATTCATTGCTGTAATCCCATTGGTATTCTACTCAAAGAAAACAAAAATCTGTTCTGAAAAATACAAGTCCTATGTCAACGAACAAATGTGGTGGGATGAATAAATCAGAGCAGAGACTTCTTAATCCTCAAAGCACTATTCCCTATACCTTCCCCCCTCCCTTTTATCCCTCCGAGGTTAAGTATCAGAAAATGGCTGAAAGTGAGAAAACAGGAAGAAAGAAAATGGTGTGTCGAGGCACTTGATTGGTCAGATTTTGCTGCAGAGTCCAAGTTCCTGACACAGAGAAAGGAAAATTAATAAGATGAAGCGTATCAACAGTTAAGAGAGAACTAAGAGTCTTGCAGGTTTTACGCTTTTCAGAAGAAATATTTCCTCTAAGCAATTCTCGGGGACTCTTTGTTTCCGAGTTAAAATGAGGGCTGTGTTCAACTCAATCCAACCGCTTCTTAAAGGCACAGGTACTGTTTTGTAGCAGAGAAAAGGGCATTACTTCCAATAATTCAATGAAACAGGAAGCTCCCTAAATTTTACAAAGCGACCTGCAGCATTAAAACAGACAAAATAACCAAACCAGCAAACAAAAAACATCAAACAAACAAACAAACAAAAAAAAACCAACAAGAAACCAGAACAACAACAAAAAAATCCAAACAAACAAAAAGGCGAAGTAAAGTCAGAAATTTTTTTTGAAATGTAAATTTTTCAGTCACCAACTGTAGATCTATCAAGCAGGAGAGCAAGGGGATGTGCAACTGAATTTACAGTCAGGGAAAAATCTGTTTTCCAGGTAGGATCACTGAATATCACTGAATATCACTGAATATCACTGAATATCACTGAATATCACTGAATATCACTGAATATCACTGAATATCACTGAATATCACTGAATATCACTGAATATCACTGAATATCACTGAATATCACTGAATATCACTGAATATCACTGACTACAACAGATAAGGAAGAGTCTCCATTTAAAAATAATTCTAGACTTGATAAGTTTTTAGTCACAGATATTCCTTGGAAAACACTTCCTCTGTGGTAACTTCAGAAAATCTTTTCGGGAGCCTCAACAGTGATGGAGAAAATTGATCTAAACTGACATCTCTAATAATTCATACAGGATATTCAGAAACATTAAGGATGCCACGAGTGTGTCCTAGAGAAGACACCAGGAAAAAGCACAACTCATAAAACGCGACTCGCAGAAAAAACCCTTGCCTTTGCCCTGCCCCAACTCTTTGGAAATACATTTATCTCGGAATAAATGTGGGTGCTTGAGAAGGGCTAAAAATGCCCGCGAGACGTCGCTCACGACAGGAATACTCACACTAGGAGTGATAAAACACTGGAAAAACTACTGACCAAGCGCCCTTCCAGGAAAGGCGGGAAAGGACTTCTTGCAGCTTCCGAAAAAAAACAAGGCCCCAGAGTCCTCCAGAAATAACAATAATAAAAAAATGTTTGGAAAGGAAAACTAGCTGTAACGTTACCATGAGAACATAAAGTATACGCAGCACAGCAGAAAGCATTTACAACAAACTTAAATTCTCTAGTCGTGACCGCAGAATTCAGTAAAGGTCCACCCCTTTATGAATTCAGGCAGTTTGTACAAAAGCCTTACGGACACGCAGCTGAACGGATAAAAAAAATACATATTCCAGCTGAGTATCTTCCCCTTCAGAAAAGGAAAGCCAATGATTACAACATTTTCTTTAACAGCCAAAATATAAGTATCTGGAAAAACGTGTAGAAAGCAATTTCCACCCTGAACGAAGATTTGTCCTAGCACGCTATACCGCTTAATCACCTCAGCACGCTATACCGCTTAATGCTACAGTCACGATTTAACTCCTTTAACACGTAATTTATGCTGTTTACTACTTACCTGAGATGTCAAATCTCGCTTAACGTAAAGCCACCCGAAACACAGGTAAACACACTACTTCCTATGCATGACTACGAGTTTACAGCTCTTTTTAGTGGCCATGTGGTGGCTCTTAAAAGAGCCTTTGGGTTTTCGATGGTCTGAAAGATCCGTTTGATGAAGTTTAAGCGCGCTCTCCGCGGATGCGGCGGGCGAGCTGGATGTCCTTGGGCATGATGGTGACGCGCTTGGCGTGGATGGCGCACAGGTTGGTGTCCTCGAAGAGCCCCACCAGGTAAGCCTCGCTGGCCTCCTGCAGCGCCATGACGGCCGAGCTCTGGAAGCGCAGGTCGGTCTTGAAGTCCTGCGCGATCTCGCGCACCAGGCGCTGGAAGGGCAGCTTGCGGATCAGCAGCTCCGTGGACTTCTGGTAGCGGCGGATCTCGCGCAGCGCCACCGTGCCGGGCCGGTAGCGGTGCGGCTTCTTGACGCCGCCCGTGGCCGGCGCGCTCTTGCGGGCCGCCTTGGTGGCCAGCTGCTTGCGGGGCGCCTTGCCGCCCGTCGACTTCCGCGCCGTCTGCTTCGTGCGCGCCATGTTCCGCGGAGCAGCCCCTGCAGAGTCGAAAAAGCAATCCCTGTGCAGGAGGCGGCCGCGGGGGACTCTATTTATAGCCATCCCCGCTCTGTGATTGGCCAGCGCGAAGGCAGACCTGGCTGCCATTGGACAGGGGGAAGGATTCGAAAAGCCCGCGCGGTGGGAAGGGGGATGGGCGGGAGCAGCTGCCGGTCCCCGCTCCGCAATTCCTTCCCTCCCTCCCTCCCACCCTTCCTCCCTCCCTCCCTCCCTCCCGGGAAGCGACCGCGCTCCCTCTTCTCATCTCTTGCAGCTCCGCCCGGCGGAGCGGGGCCGGAGGCAGCCGGACGTGGTGCCACAGCTGTAACCGGGCAGCCGTGTTTTCACCCCGCAGCAAACGCTTTTATCGCGGCCTCTGTTCGGGACAACCAGGATTCAAGTTCCCTCGTAAAAGGCATTTTCTTAAAAACAGCCTTCCCTGTGCAACCCGAGCAACTTCAAGTGCGATAAAGCGCTCACCTTTGGTAATTTTTTTTGTTTGGTTTAGTTTGTTTTTTTGGTTTTGTTTTTTTTTCTAAGTGTCCCTTATTTTAACTTGTAATTTCCTATTATGTTGTCACTTAGAAAACCCTTAATTCTGCCGCGCTTATGCGCCACGGGATACAATATAACGTACGCCACTCCCTTATGAAACCTGAGGAGCTAGTGAATTATACTGCTCTCTATACCGTTTTTACTTCTGCTGTGCTTGGAGGCATAGATTTCATTAAACATTCCCTTGCAAATATCACAGACTAATCCCTAAAGACTGTCCTGCGTAAACAAGCTGCTTTGGCTTGCAGCCAAGTCACTTGAGGATGACATCTAATATTTAAAGGGGACAACGATATTTTATTAGGAAAAAAAGTATAAGCTGCACTGAGACAAGACTGACGTTGTAAATAATTAAAAGATATACTCTTAAAAGGAGGAAGGAGAACAAATAGATTTAAAACTCGATTAGGCGCTTAGCATTCCTTTTATAGACCTGGCAAACAGCCTGTCAGGATAGGACACTCGCAAGACGACCCAAATCTTTCCCGGTAAACAGGATAAACATTTTTCCCTACTCTTTTAACAGCATGTCCTAACCTGGGAACTAAACCAGGACCAATTACAAGCACCACTCACCGAAAGTAATTAGTGTGACAGACTCTTTTACTGAATATATGGGTGGCTCTTAAAAGAGCCTTTGGGTTGAAAGTGACGGTCCGAGGCGCCCTACTTGGAGCTGGTGTACTTGGTGACAGCCTTGGTGCCCTCGGAGACGGCGTGCTTGGCCAGCTCGCCAGGCAGCAGCAGGCGCACGGCCGTCTGGATCTCCCGCGACGTGATGGTGGAGCGCGTGTTGTAGTGCGCCAGGCGCGAGGCCTCGCCGGCGATGCGCTCGAAGATGTCGTTGACGAAGGAGTTCATGATGCCCATGGCCTTGGAGGAGATGCCCGTGTCGGGGTGCACCTGCTTCAGCACCTTGTACACGTAGATGGAGTAGCTCTCTTTCCTAGTCTTTCTACGCTTCTTGTCACCTTTCTTTTGGGTCTTGGTGACGGCTTTCTTGGAGCCCTTCTTCGGAGCGGGAGCGGATTTAGCTGGTTCCGGCATTTTACGGGTCTGTCACTACCTGTCCACTGCAGGAACGACGTAAATACAAAGGCGGCGACGCCCGTATTTATAGGGGCGGTATGCAAATGATATGACTCGACGGTGCTCTTGCCTATTGGACAATCTGGGGCCGTGATGTCAAACCATCGAGCATCTTCGATTGGTCGCTCTTTCATCTGCATTCCCATTGGTAAATTCCACAATCCCTGCCTCCGCCAATCAGGAGTCCCACTGAACCCCGGAAGGAAGGGATAAAAACGCAGAGTGGGACCTTTTGCCGTATTTACTCCTTTTGCACGGCTTTCCGAGGTATTCTGTGGGGTATTATTTTTATTTCCTTTCTGTTTTGTGCTCTCTTTTTGCTGAGGCATGTCCGGGCGCGGGAAGCAGGGCGGGAAGGCGCGGGCCAAGGCCAAGTCGCGCTCGTCGCGGGCCGGGCTGCAGTTCCCCGTGGGCCGCGTGCACCGGCTGCTGCGCAAGGGCAACTACGCCGAGCGGGTGGGCGCCGGCGCGCCCGTCTACCTGGCGGCCGTGCTCGAGTACCTGACGGCCGAGATCCTGGAGCTGGCGGGCAACGCGGCCCGCGACAACAAGAAGACGCGCATCATCCCCCGCCACCTGCAGCTCGCCATCCGCAACGACGAGGAGCTCAACAAGCTGCTGGGCAAGGTGACGATCGCGCAGGGCGGCGTGCTGCCCAACATCCAGGCCGTGCTGCTGCCCAAGAAGACCGACAGCCACAAGGCCAAAGCCAAGTAAAGTTCTCCAGATCAAATAACCCAAAGGCTCTTTTCAGAGCCACCTACATCTTCCTAGAAAGAGCAGGAACGCTTGACCCTACAAATACATGCTATTTGACATATCTGAAAATTTTAAATGTCAAAAGAAGCTTTCTGAAGTATAAACTTTCTGTGTATTTTTAACTTGCTGATCAGTGTAGTTCCCTGCAGTTTTCTTTCTCTAAGATATCCATGTTCTTCTGTAAATGTGACTCCGTTTCCCTTTTTTGGGAAGAAAAAAAAAATAAAATGTATCTATTGCGATTGAAATCGGTCACCGCAGCATGGTTTGAGAGATGTGAACTAGGCAAGGGTGTACTTTCTGCTTGCCTCCCCATGGATTCTGTGGGTGGGAAGCACCATTAAGCTCGGTGGTGGTAGTATGGGGCGGGGACGGCGCCGTCCTTGCCAATCCGATTGGAATGCGCGGTTTTCAAACCAGAGAGGGATTGGGCCCCCTCCTCTCCCAGTGAGCCGCTGCTGTCCCTGCGTTGGGGTGGAAAGGTGTCCGGGTGCCTTATGCGTAGTGGTTGCTGTAATTTTCTGCCTTCTGAGGTTGTTTTTTTTTTTCTTGTTTGCAATTTGGGGCTATCAGGGGATAGTAAGAAAATGGTAAGTACTTCACTGTGATGCTGTCCAGGACAGTTTCCAAAGGGCAGTGCCAGGTATTCTATTTAAGTGATAAATAATGATGGTGACTATCATAATGGAGTTAAAGCAAAATAGGCTGGAGTGTGAGTTCAGATAGAAGCACTATGGAAACTCACACATACCCAGGAAAGGGGGTCATCATGTACCAGTCTAGATTTGAACTGTTTCAGTTCTTTCTCTTTCATCCTGGTGGTGTTCAAAAGTGCTCTTGGCGTTTTTCTGCAAAAGTTTCCTTTACTTATACGGTACAGACTCTGGGTACTGTCGCTTTCGGCTTGGCCGAGCTCCTCGGTACCACCTTTTTGGATTTCGTAGCCTTAGTTGCCTTTTTGGGGCCCTTGGCTGGTACGACTGCCTTGGCCTGCTCGACTGCGGAAGCCTCTTGTGCTCCAAAGAGGGGGGACACGGCCTTGATGACGCGGGAGTCGCGGGCTCTGAAGTCGCCGCATCTGGCTTGAGGATCCCGAGGTGTTGGGGGCACATAAATCAAGATACTACGCGAGAGATCGGTATTTGCAGGGAGGAGCCTGTCCGCCATTGGTGCCTCGGGGAGTCCGCCCTGCTGGGGCACAGCGACAGCTCTTGTCCCCTCTGTTTCCTCTGAACACGTTAATTTTATTTCTTTTTTTTTTTTTTTCTTTTCTTCTACTGTAAAGAACACCGCTTCTCACCTTTGTTAGGCAGATGTAGGTAAAAGAGGCTTTTACTTCTTTTTTATTCAGTAATGTTTATTCCGGAAGAAAAAACCTGCCCGAAGGGGAAGCAGGAATGCAACGCGGGGAGCTGGGAGACTCAGAATGAGGCTTTCTCAGAGCTGGGAAGGATGTTTTCTTTGTTCTTTAAAACCGTCCTCGAGAACTAAAAAAGGAAAACTCAGCAGTTGTTTGTTTCTGCTGTTGTTTGGTTGGTTGGGGTTTTTTTCAGGATTCTGTCTCAGGAGGCAGAGAAATGAGCCACTGTGCCATTGCGTTAATGGAAAATGTTTTTCAAGCAGAGAGAGAGAACGGAGGAGTGCCTAGCTGAAGTCTTGTTTGGAAACAAGATGAGAAAGGCGAGACTGCTATCAAACGGTACAAGATTTTTGCACAATTTTCAGGTTGGTTTGGGATTTTTTTTGATTGGTTGTTGTTTTTGTGTGTGTGTGTGTGTGTTTGGTTTTTTGATTGTTATTTTATCTTTTTATTTCCCGAAATAGATAGAGGATTTTTTTCTTTTTTAATCATCTCTGTCTTACTGAAAGAAATTGCATTAGGTATTAATCACCTACTATTCAGAGCTGGACTTTGAAACAACATTAACTGCGGGACTTTATTAGTAACTATGCTGAAATTTGAGGCTAGAATTAGGTTTAAAACACTTAAGGATTTTTTTGTTTGTTTGTTTAATAATCTCAAATTTTCTGTATTTAGTATATTTGGCAAAATAGCCTTCTATTGGTGTATATTTAGTATGGGAGGAAGAGATTACGTGAGTCTAAAGCAGGGAATTGATTTGTACAAGGTTCTGATTGGGCCATTTGAAAATCCTGAAACAGAGGCCTCCCGAGTTTCATTTTTGCCTTTGAAGACACAGTGTGAGGAGGGAGCATTTCTTTTCAAGAACAATGCTCATACTTTCTTCTTAGACACTTCAGTATATCTGTTCCGCTTCTCTTGGAAATTGGAAAAGAGGTGGCTGGATTTGTTTTGTTTTGTTGTTTGTTTTTTTCCCTCTGATTTTTGAAAAATCATTTGAAAACACAAATATTCTAAGAGTTTTCAAATAAGATATAAGCAGATTGGAATCTAGTCTAAAGTGTTTGTATTGTTTTTCTACTATGTTCCTCATTAAAAACTAGTTAAGCTCAGTATTGTAATTCATGAAGTTCACCATTTCCTTCTCAGAACTTTCCAGCCATGCTTCCCCCTTGAGATGGTAACCAGCATCTAGCTATAACTAGATGCATATAACTAGCTCGGTTTCCTTATACAGAAATTTATAAACAATGTTCTCTCTATCCCACCAATAGGATTTTCATGACGGGTTTAAGTATGTTTCTATTAGTAGAGGAAAACTGTTAAGTTCTGTATACTAAATCCTTTTTCCTCAGCTAAATTACACCTGGAATGTTTTCCTATGATTACTGCGTATACCTGTTTCTCCTGACCAGTCATTCATATTTAATGTAGAAAGGCAACTTGTTCTTCTACTTCAGGTGACTGCGCTTGTTATAAATGAACACGTTCTGTCTGCATACTATAGTTAAAGAACAGGGTTGTATATACTGAAATAGAAGAGAGAAATGTACTATATCACCTGTTTGCTTATGTGACAGATGAGAGTTAAAAGTGTTTTCTTGAAAACCACAATATTTTATTTCATTGCAGATGCAAAATTTCCCTTACCAAATTTCATTTCAACTATTAAGCCGACCTAAATTCTCAAAAAGGGAAAAGACTTTAGATTTAAGAACAGTGCACCACAGATGCTGGTGGTCACAAAATAAGTGTTTAATAACATACATGACACTAATTTACTTTTGAATTTTAAGTCCACACAAAATATATCCTTGCTTTAAAGTACTAACTGTAGCATAGGTAGTGCAATCTGTCAGATGACTTGCTCCCATGAATATTATTCACCCTGTAGTTACTAAAAAACAGCTCTATTTTTTAAAGGACTAAAACATAATATGCAAGACAATATTAAAAAAAAAAAAAAAAAGAAAAATAAACTACACTCAGTTGCAGAAACATTCCCAATTATGCTGAGAAACAAATTTTAAAAAAGTAAAGTAATAGAAGAACATTCACTTTTAGGCTTTTTCATAGTCACAATACAGTGTGAGAAAAAGTCCTTAGATATTCTTTTCCTTCAAAAAGTCTTATTCACGTTGTTTTGGTTTGGTTTTTGCTGTTTTTGTTTTGTTTGTTTGTTTGTATTTGAAAAAGACTGTCTATGCTTAATTTTTCTCTAGTGACCTGATTGAGGACAGAACTGAAATATTGTTCAAGCTCCTTTGGTAGTAAAAGTCTTAGAGAAAACTGTGATTTTATTTTTTTTTCTCATGAGAATTTGCTTTAGGCTAGCAAATTTATCAACAATATAGACAAGCTAAAGTATTTACATAGGTCAACAAACATGAATGGAATTAATTGCTTGGTACCAATGCTATCCCCATGATTCTGTAGGCTCCTCCTTGTAAAACTTATTTGAACATTTACATCACATACACTATGCAAAGGTTCAACTTTTGAAGGTCTTTTATTAAATTACTCCCAAATTCCTTCACTCAAATTTTTAGTTTCTTTAGTACCTTTTGCAAACCTATATAGCACACCAAAATACAATAAAGTAGGAATATCCTACAAATCTGGTATAATGTTATAGAAACTGTTTGAATAATACCACGAGTAGTTTATTTTTCATGAACACTGAAAACAGACCTGCTTAGAGACCAAATGAACTTTTTAAAGAAAAGGTTACTGTGTGTTTCTCTCAAATATATAGTGCAGGATCGATTTAGATTTTGGTAAACATGAAAGAAATCCACTAGTCTCCATTCACACTATTTTGGAGGTATTCCTGATGCTCAGGAAGTTTGTTGGAAAGTC